ACACAGACAACCTCTCGTCAATATGTGTTTTTCGCATTGCATTGCTGCAAAAAACGCATAAAAAAGGAAAAAGTACAAGATAAACTTTGCAGCAACGAAGTCACAACCAAACAGAAAAATATTTTTAGCTAACCATTGTTGATGAGGAACCTAAGTGCATCTTTGAAGCCACTTCGGCACATTGAAGCACATTCCTCCGTAGATGGCGGGAAAAGGCACACAGCTGCACGATACAAGTTATTGCTCGTTAGCCGAATTGATGTCCCAGCAAAGTTCCATTCAAATAAACTGCAGATCATTAAATCCAGGAGTAAAAAACAATTTCAACAAGTCTTTCAAAACGAAAAAAAAGTGCAAACTGACAAGTTTCGAATCCCTTTCGGCTTTATCTCAAAGTCAATGCCAAAATCTCCGCCGCATTAATTCTTTATGACAGCCGAAGGTACTCGAAAGTAGCTCAAGTGACAGCAGATTCCAAACGCAATCACATCTGTGAGGCTACCGACTGCTCCTTCTTTCGAGACTTTACTGAGGCAAGCAGGTGCCAGGTTTTACTTATTGTATGTGCCAGTACTAGTTTCTCACCGAAATAAGGGAACGAATCGTAAAAGTCCACTTGTCACAATATCGAGACCGAACCCTCGACCTCTAGCACGAGAGTAGTGTTACTTATTCTTGCATAGTATTGCCAATATCGTCATTTTTTAAAAAGAAAAACGATGCACATTTTTATGCGTTTTATGCTGCAACTGTTGCACAAAACGCATACTATTGAGACCCTGTCTGTGGGTGTTTGTTTATTCGTGTGTGTGTGTGTGTGTGTGTGTTCTAAGTGCACTTTATCCAGAGGTTTCAATTTGGGAATCAGAGAAGCTAGGAAGCTGAAATTTTAAAGGGGGTCCCTGCTCACGAATGATTTCGGAAACTCAAATCAGAGTTTGAGCACGTTTACACTTCACGTACCGTCATCCGAAATTTTTGGTGCCCCCAAATCAATAGCATGGGAAGCACAAAAGTTAGGAAATTGTCCCCTGTCCGTATGTGACCCCTTAAAGTTAAATTTAGCCTTCACTTACGCCTAGGTCTCAACTACAGACACGTGGAAGTCTTGGTGCGAAAAAAATATTAACTCAGGAACCAGGAAAGACAGAGAGCTGAAATTCTGGGAGAATGTCCCCTATCAGTGTATAACTTCGCAAACTCAAATTCAGCTTCCCACAATTTTCGAGCGCCAAAACTGATAACTCGACAGCCAGGAAAGCTAGAAGACTGAAGTTTCAGAATAATGGTCCTGCCTCCACAAAGATTCAGCCCTTGCGCACGTCTAAGCCTCAGGTAGGGGTATGTGAAAGTTTTGGCGCCGAAATTAATGACTCGGGAATCACGAAAGCCAGGAGGATGAAATTTTAGAATATTCCTTGCCGGTTTAAAAATTCACTCTCGTGCACGTCTAAGTCTCATATACTGATAAATGAAATTTTTGACTTCGTAATTAACATGCAACGTATCAAACAGTAATGCAGTAGTAGGCACTTTTAACAGCAAAATTCCTCTGAACAGAGTTGTAGAAGCGCCGGCTGGGCAGGATTGCAAAAGCATCCGCAAGACAGAAATGCATAAGCATTCGCTGGACAGGGTTGCTCGAAATGCATGATTGCACAGACTATCCTGCTGGACGCAGCTATTTATTTAAATTCAACTTCAGTTCATAAAAATTGTTCGATTGGCTCTAGGAGACTGAAACTCTGCGAATTTCTAGAACAAATTAGGGTAGTTACGTCAGGCTCTTGATGGCCAGCAAGCTAATCGACAATTGGTTATTAAACTAACCTAGCACTTTCAATATCCCTGGGACAAATATCCGACTCGCCAGAGAAGGGAGAAACGGTGATTGTATTGGCATCGATAATCGGTTGATTATTACTGGCCCCGCCATCGATATAAATTTCACCGCGAAACGTTGGATAGATAAAGCCACCGTACACCGGGATAAAGCAGCTGCAACAAATCGCCTGAAATTGCACCATTCAGCTTCAGTGCCAAGTAATGATAAAAGATGTCAAAAAAGTTATGAAGTGAGGAGTTCTTCGAAATGACAGGACCGAGAAGAGCGGACGGCTGATGAAAAATAATAGGGAGAACAACCTGACTTCTAACCCATAAATGAGCAAAGAGACACGGGAGAGAGCGCAGCAGAGGGAGAGGGGAGGGGGGCGAATAACATTAGAAGAGGAGATATATATATATATAGGGTTTCTTGATAAGTAACTTCTCAAAAACTGGAGTAAAAGAATGAGTAAAACCCACATCAATTAGCTCATCTTTAGTCTGGAAGTTGTCCAGCACCACATTCTCCATATCGCGAAAACGCGTCACCGAAATCCTCAATCGACCAGTGCAAATCTCATGCGCATTGCTCGGTAAGACCGCGTTAAGTTTCGTTCGAACTAATTTCATTAAGTGAAAATCTCGATTCAGCGCACCAAACGTATACGAACGGGCCTGAAAACAGTGCATGTATTAAGGTTATTCCGACAAAAGGAAAAACGTCCCCTTAATGGCTCCTTCTGCTATTAGCTGAATAAAATTGAAGTAACAAACGACAGAAAAAGGACCCGGGTTGAAGTAGTGAGAATGAGAGACAACGGATGGGAAAAACAAACTGTTCAATGTTAAATGAACACAGGATAAGCTACAAGTGATATGCAAAGAGTTAAATGCGAGCACCTGCGTATAATTACACAAATGGGGCCTGTGCAGAATAGGGAGCAGGAAATTACAAGAAGTACATGAAATCGAGCCTGTTCCACAGCAAATCAGGTAGTAAAAGGA